TGTAGACCAGGCTGGCCTTGAACTCACAGAGATCTGCCTGGCTCTGCTTCCTGAGAGCTGTGATTAAAGGTGTGTGCCACCATGCCTGGCTTAACATATGTTTTTTAAAAAAATATTTTTTTATTTTATATTTTATGTGTATGAGTGTTATGCCTGCATGTAGGTAAGTGCACCCGTGTTGTGCAATGCCCACAGGGGTCAGAAGAGGCTGTCAGATCCCCTGGAACTGAAGTTACAGACAGCTCTTAGCTGCCATGTGGGTGCTGGGATTTGAGCCCAGGTCTTCTGCAAGAACAGCCAGTATTCTTAACTGCTGAGCCATCTCTCTAGCCCCTTAACCCATGTTCTTTGAGGTTACCCTAGAGATAGGCACAGTGTAAGCTTTAGAGATTGAGACAAAGCAGCCAATAGAAATCTTCACCTTCACCAGGTTGACAATGAGGAGACATTGTCATTGCAAACAAGTAAAGATAGAATTACATATTGCAGGGATACAAAAATGTATAGTGAGGAGCGAGCTCGAGGGCTCTAATGGTATGTCCATGATGAAGCAGTAAATTGTTGCTAGACACATTCTTCACCCAATGTTCTTGATCTTCACAACAAGAGTACACAAAGTACCTGGGAAAGCATTCACATTTAGAGGCCCTCAAAATGGTCACTTCACCATTCCTGGGTTACCAGTCGGCAGTAGAGTAAATATCGAAGAGAATATTGAGAAAAGCACACAGCAAATTCTAATGTACATGATCAAAGTGTTAATGACTACTTTTAGGATTTGAATCTGAAACACTCCCTGAGAGCTCCTGTGTTAAAGGCTGGGCAGCCAGCTGATGGGCTTTTAGGAAGTGATTGGACCCTGAAGGTCTGATTCCCTCAATGGAATTAATCCATTGATGGATTCATGATTTCTTGGCATGATTGGGAGCTGGTAGAAACTAAGAATGGCCTAGTTGGAGGAATTACGGCATTAGGGCATGCCCTGGAAGGGAGTATTGTCTATCTGGCTCTTTCCTCTCCTCTCCTCCTCCACTCCCTTCCTCTTCCTCCTTCTCCTTCTCCTCCTCTTCCTCCTCCTCCTCTTCATTCTTCAGCTACTTCTCCTCTTCCTCCTTCTCCTCCTCTTCCTCCTCCTTGTCCCCTCCCCCTTCCTCCTTTCTCCTCTCCTATGTGTTCCTGTCACCATGATATTCTGGAGACAGATGACCTTAGACTGACACCCCTGAAACCATAAGCCAAAACAAGCCATTCCTTTCTTTAAGGTGATTTTCTCAAGTATTTGTCATAGTGGAAAGCTGAGTATATTAGCAGCTTGGTATACTGCTTGGCTCCCATTGTCATCATAAGGGAACACTAGAATCTGCTATAGGGAGCTGCTGACTGATAAGCCCTTTGTGGTTTGAATGTGAAATGTTTTCCATAGGCTCATGTGTTTGAACACTTGGGCTCTAGCTAGTGGCTATGAAGAGCAAAGAATAACTCAAATAACATCTCTTAAAAAATAGGACCAAACATCTTTAAAGGATTCCTGATTGGGTTGGAGAAAAGCTACAAATTTTATTGTGCCATTTTGTTCATACAAAGCACATGTTTACTAGTTGGAGCATGAATAAGCCAAGGGAGAGGGAGGGGAAGGGACAGGAGGAGGGAGAAAAAAAGGAGAGAGAGAGAGAGAGAGAGAGAGAGAGAGAGAGAAAGAGAGAGAGAACACTGGATAAAAGTTACTTCAAACTCCCCACCCCCCTGAACTGCCTGGCCTCTGGAATGCTAGCACAGAGCTGCCATACTTATAAGGATGGGCAACTTGGCCAAATGTATCGACTCTAATTGTAAAGATGATTTCATCTACTCTTTAGGAAATTGATGTTTTGTGGTTACAACCTTTACTATGATGTCTATAAGAAGTTATTCTGACCCTGAGTTACAGACTTGGAGGTGCTCTGCCTGGTTTCACCTTCCTGGAAGGCTTGCTGCCCAGGTATAGAGGCGTGTCCATTGAGTGACCTCCTGATAGTGGCTCCTAGATTTCAGGTCTGCCTCAGATGTAGAAAGTCACCTGATTACATCCACCCTTCTTAGAATAAGTCTGCAGCTCTGGCCCCTTCTCCCTGACCTGTGATGGTTCACACTAGGCTTTATCATGGCCACACTGTACTTCCATACTTTCTTCTGCCCAGGCCTCCTCCTCCTTCTCACAGGCTTTAATCTGTGATAGCATCACATACCTAAAGCTCTGTCTCAGTATTTGCTTTCATATTTTTATTTTTATTCATCAAAGAATGTGTGGGGACTGTAGAGGTATCCCAGTGACTAAGAGCACTGACTGGTCTTGCAGAGGACCTGGATTTGATTACCAGCACCCACACAGAGGCTAACAATCTCCCTTATCTCAAGCTCCAGGGGATCTGATGCCCTCTTCTGGTTTCCATGGGCATTGCACACATGTATGCACACAGGCAAAACACACATACACATACAGTAAAAATAAAAGAAAATTTAAAAAATTGTGTGTATGTTGTAGATGCATGTGTACTCACAGTGTAGATGCAGGTGTATATCTGTGTATACATAGGTGTGCATCTGTGCATACATGTATGGACGCTGTATTAGGGATCTGATGCCCTCTTCTGGTTTCCATGGGCATTGCACACATGTATGCACACAGGCAAAACACACATACACATACAGTAAAAATAAAAGAAAATTTAAAAAATCGTGTGTATGTTGTAGATGCATGTGTACTCACAGTGTAGATGCAGGTGTATATCTGTGTATACATAGGTGTGCATCTGTGCATACATGTATGGACGCTGTATTAGTTAGGGTTCTCCAAAGAAACAGAACTGGTGGAA